CTCTCCTTCTCTCCCTCTCTCCCTCTCTCCCTCCCTCTCTCCCTCTCCCTCTCTCTCTCTCTCTCTCTCCCTCTCTCCCTCTCTCCCTCTCTCTCTCTCTCTTTCTCTCTTTCTTTCTTTCTTTCTTAGACAGAATCTCTGTTGCCCAGGCTAGAGTGTAGTGATGTCATCATAGCTCACTGCAACCTCAAACTCCTGGGCTTTAGTGATCCTCCTGACTCAGCCTCCCAACTAATTGGGACTACAGGTGTGTACCACCCCACTCAACTAGTTTGTTTTTTTTTTCATTATTTTTTTCATAGAGATGGGGTCTTATTCTTGCTAAGGCTGGTCTCGAACTCCTGGCTTCAAGTGATCTTCCTGCCTAAGCTCTCCCAGAGTGCTAGGATTACAGGCATGAGACACTGTGCCCAGCCCACTACTTTCTTTAAGTAAAGAAATGTACTTTACTTCTTGAGGCTAGGATGATCCTGTGACTTGCTTTAGCCAATAAAGGCAGTGGAAGTAATGTCATCCAACTCCAAACATAGGCCACAACAGGCCTCTACAGCTTTGGCTCGGCCTAACCTTGCCACCACCATGTGAACAAGCCTGGGATAGGCTGCTGGAGGGTGACAAAGCACATGGAACAGAGACAAGTCATCCCACGTGAGGTCATCCTAGACCAGTTAGCCCTTTGTCACCCTGGGAACTAACCAGAGAATCACGAGCGAGCCCAGTGGAGACTAGAAGAACCACCCTGCTGATCTTAGCCCAAATAGCTGACCTCAAAAAATTATGAATCAATAAATGATTAGTTTTTTATTAAGCCACGTAGTTTGGGGTACTTTGTTACACAGCAAAAGCTAACTGATGTAAACCTGCATGGAGCTATCAGTTTTCTATAAAAGTTTACAAGGCATTGTTCATACTGCCCAGTTTAGAATGGTCACAGATAATTATAATTGTAATGATTATTTCCGATATTTTTACTGACCTTGTCACTATATCTTTCTAGAAAAAGAAAAGCTTCTTTTAAGTTGGAGGGAGAAAGAGAAGGTAAGAGCACAGGCTCAAATGCTGGCTCTGGCACTTAGTAGTTTTGACATTGACTTGATAGTTAACATACCTGTGCCTTGATTTCCACATCTCTAACATGGAGATAATGACAGTGTGTGTTTCATAAGGTGTGCGAAGATTATTGAGATGATCTATATCAGGCACTCAGGACATGTTTCCTCAAAATGTGTTAGTTTATTATGATCACTTGAAGGCTTCCAACCAATTTACCTTGAGGGATATGGCTGACATCATTGCACAAGGTAAGATATTATGGGTGACAAGTGGCAGGTATTTTAAATAGGTAAATGCAAATAGGGCTGTATATTTTTCATGCCTTTAAGCAACTTTAAGCAACTAATCATTTTATGTGCCACATGCCCCCAATAATTCCACATCCTTCAGCCACTCTGCCTAAAAGAGTTGGGAAATCCAATTATTTTAATACTTCAAGTAATTAACAACAATGATAATATTTGTATGTGGCAAGTATTACAGATGTTACCGTGGAAACTAATGAGCTTGAAAGACATGAAGTGACTTTCCTAGGTTCACATATCAGTGAGCAGCTCCACAAAGAAAGGACTTAAGTACTCTTGACTAGGAGTTGATTGCTTTAGTTGTCAGAGACTACTTCCTAGCAGGCCAAATTTCTCATACATATTGATGAAAGAAAAGAAATCATGACTTGTTTGAAATAAAGATTGAGATGTTAAAAAGAAAAAAAGATAGATTGATTTGCTGATGGATCTCAGTGTGGGACTAACAGGTCTACTGAATTAACGTCAACGTTTTTAAAATCGGAAAATGGGTTTCCTACGGTGTTTAGTCATCAGCCAGAACCCATCTTCCCAGGTTGCAGAATTGGATATAAAAGAAGGTGTTAATAGGGCTTCATTGATTTTTCAGACAGATGTGTTTAGGGGAGAATTTAATGTTCACTTCAAGGCACAGTTAATTAGCCCCCTTAACCAAGAATTTGTGCACATCTAGTAGGTGTAAAATATGAGAACCATATTGATAAATTTCTCACACATCTAATGTTGCACAGAATTACATAACACATTAGGGGCTGGACTCTTCTCCCTATTGTAAATTGCTCCCTGGAAATTGCATTGGCTTTTCCAGGAACTCTATTTGTATACAACAGGGTCATGAAAATGACTGATACTGAGCTTGTGGTCGTTAAGCCAAAGCTTAAGAGGAATACTGGTTCCACAAGTTACTAACTCTTCAACTTTGGACAAGTCATTTAAACTTTCTGGTGTTTAGCTCCCTTGTCTGTATATTGGTAATGGCATCAATTACTTTGGTTATTGAAGCCTGGGGTGGTGCCTATATAGGCACAGGTGCTCCCATTAGCACAAGGAGCCTTTTCTATCTAAATTACTCCCTCCAAATGGCTCCTGTCACCTTTGTCCCACTCCAAATAGAAATATACACCTTGAATAAACTTAATTTTTTATTACTCATAATTGTCAAAATTAACCCTTGATTTGGAAGCTATGAGATAAAAGGTAAATGCATTTTTCTTCAAGTTCTTATATTGGCATAGTATTTTGGGGTGGATTCAAGGTTGAAAAGTTCCTGACATAATACATAATTCTTTATGTGCTTAATCTTGGTATTATATCTAATAAATACTCTAATCGATATCTTGCTATATGAATAAACCCTTCCCAGAGATTCATTTGTTACTTAGGGAACTAAAATTGTGTTTGGATCACAGAGGCAGCAGGGTTACTAACATTTCCAGCATGTGCAAAACAACAACAAAAACAACCACTAAACTCACGAGGCAAATGACAGTTTTTAACATATGTACAGGGTAGAAAGGAAAGTTGGTCAGTGGTATTTTTAGCCACACTTAATGTTTCCGCTAGTTTTGCCTGCATCAGCTGGAATAGACCAACCTTCCTACACAAACAAAAAGTGGTTCCTCTGTAGAGTGAAAAAATTAACTGTGAACGTTTCTGATTTACAAGTATAAACTCCAGTATTCATCCAGAAATTTCTGACTCAATGAATAAAACCGGAATAAGCTGTAAAACACTTTAAAGCTGTAATATAGGATTTGTTTTATGCCCTGCCCATTTATAGTTGGAGCTTTTCCACTTGTGCTAAGGTATTTAGACTTTAAGTACCAAATAAATAAAAGGTTATTCATAATGTTTTTATTTTCTCTAAGTACTACAGTAATTTCTCTGCATGATTTCATATGCAAACATACAACTTTAAGTAAAGATGAAAACTTAGCTTTGTATTATTTGTGGTTATAAAATAATTCCTACTTTTAAAGTGCTCAACTCTGTGTTTTAAATAAATCCTAATTTACACTTTTTTCCTCCCGTCCTATTGTAATTTCATGCAGATATAACTAATTCTTTGCCTTAAACTCTCTAATATTAGGTAGTACTTACCTAAATTATAGGCAGTGTTGAGGAACAGTTATTTAAAATGTTTTTTTATTACAAAAAGTTTTAAACATATAAAAACCAGAAAACTAGTACAATGAACACCCATTTAAAGATCACAGATATCCAACAATTATTGAAGCTTTTGTCATTCATTTTCCTAATATTGAATTTCATAAAATGCATATTTATAAAGAGTATCTCTACAATGGTATTATCAGAACTGTATATTAAAGAGAGTTCATTTTTCTGATATTGTCTTAAATAAAGGCAAACCAATGGAAAACAAAGCACATTTTTTCTTCCTTCCACTGTTTTCAAATGAGATGAGACCTGCAGTGAATTTTTCTTATCAAGTATTTTTTTTTTATGGTGGATTTCTGGGGAGCATTAAAGTGTACTCTGGTTGTAGATCAATATGACACTGACTAAATATAGGTTTACTTAGGCGGTAGACTGAAAGGAGCCATGTTGGACAAATGAGTAAATAATGTCTCTTTTAACAAGTTCATAATTATGTATTTTATTACATAAGCTCTTCCACGAATAGCTCCAGGGAACTATTGCAAACCGTGCCTAAGCAATGCTCATTCTAGCAACCAAAACAAGTATTAATACTTAGGCAGCCCTGAGATTGGAACAGAAAGGCCTTGAAGGAAACAAACCAACACGAGTTACATTATTGCTTTTTCTTCTTTCTTGAGAAGAAAGATGAGAACAAATGAGATTAAGAAAAATATGGTCTGCAGAGACCAGGGAAACCTAAATAAATTCATTTATCTTGTGATATTTGACAAGTGTATGGATGAGGAAGGGGAAATAAAATAGTATGCATATATGTTATATAAACATACATAATAAGAACATTAAATATAAATGATACAGATAATTAATATGGATTATACATCAATTAAAATATTATCTTCGTAAAATATTAAGCAAGCAAAAGTAGCTTCTTAACTGAAACAAAAACAAAAGGAAGAGGGGAAAGACAAACCCTACCCTTTGGACTCTGCCCGGCCACCTCTCAGTGCTCTGTGCATGCTGTCCTTCCTGCATGGAATACTGTCCTATTTCTTTTCCTCCTTGCTTTCTATTCATTTTTAAAAGATATGCATCAAATATCATCTCCTTTCAAAAGCTTTCTTTCCCTAACTAATCTTGGCAGCCAGTCATTTCTCTTTCCATTAACTGTAACAAGAGCTAACATTTCTTGAGAGCTTACTGATTGATATGCCAAGTGCTTCATATACTGCATCTCACTTAGCTGGCAACAACACTATGAGGTAGGCATCTATTATGCCCATTTCATAGATGAGGAAACTGAGGTTAAAGACATTAAGTGATTTACCCGAAGACACACTTTGTAAAAATTTTTGTTAGAGCTTTTTACAGAAATAATCAAGATTATTTATATAGTCAGAAATTGTGTCTTTTATGTACCAGTTAATTAGCACCAAGCAGTCTCTCAAGAAATGCTTATTGTCTGGTGAGTTTGATCACTTTAAAAAAAAAAAAAAAAAAAAAAAAAAAAGAAATGCTTATTGAATGAATGAATGTAAACTACATTTAATGTCTTTCTACTATATGCCAGAGAAAACACAGCAAATATGCAAAAACTTAATCATCTCTAGGAATTGGAAAGATGTCCTGAATTTGACTTTCTTATATCACCTTGGGTCACAGAGGTGCAGGTGCTTCATCTTAAATGTGATCATTCAAATAATAAATGGTAAAAATCATGTAATTCAGGCCTTCTTTTCATAGAAGAGCAAATTGAAACCCCCGCTAGAACAGCAGCTTGCTCAGGGATCCAGAATTAGTCAGTTGGGAATCTGGAACTCCAGCCCCAACCCCCCAGACTGTCAGGAACATTCCCCACTCCGCTACTCTGTAACTAAGTTCTGCAGATGGTCATCACTCAAGGGGGAAAAAAGAGCACTCATTCTGGAAAATTAAAAAATCTTTAATTAGGGAGCGCATAGATTCTGTTCTGTTGAGATCATATCTATTGCTTTTCAAGTAAGCTAAATGCTCTTTGTCATAATCCACATAGTAGAACTGACTGTATCTAGGAGTCCAACAAACCTAAGTTTGAATCCTTTACTGGCCATATGCCCTGAGACAGTTTATCTCAGTTTTCTTCCTTGTAAAATGGGAATGATTACATTTACTTCATAGGGCTAGTGGGAGGATTGGAAATATATGTATGTTAAGATTTGCTCAACAGTGATATAGCACCATTTGTATATTCTTGGATAGAGCTAGAACCCATTCTACTATGTGAAGTATCTGAAGGATGGAAAAACCAGCACCACATGTACTCACTAGCAAATTGATATTAACGGATCAACACCTAAATGTATATATAGGAGTAACATTTATCGGGTGTCGGGAGGATGCGAGGGGTGAGGAGGGGATGGGTATATACAAACACAATGAGTGAGATGTGCAACATTTGGGGGATGGACAGGCTTGAAGCTCTGACTCGAGGGGGGAGAGGGGCATGGGCAATATATGTAACCTTAACACTTGTACCCCCATAATATGCTAAAATTAAAAAAAATAGAAACAAACAAAAAAAAAGATTTGCTTTCATTTTAATCTCTAATGTTACTAATTGTTTTCAGATGTACCCGGGATTTGTTTCAATGAGGTATGGTAAGACACGCAGACATGGAAATGAACGTCATGAAGGAGGAAGAAGAGTATCCTCGCAGATTCCCTAGAAAAGGAGGTCTCCTACCCAGGGCCACCTGGGAAAGCGGCAGGAGCGGCAAGGAGAAAACCTGGGCAAAACCTTCGTTGTCGGGTTTCGTGGGCAAGAATGGGCAAGGCAGGGTAGGCATGTAGAGCAAGATTAGGGTTTGAGAATTTGAATAATATCACTGGGCTGGGTCCTAGGGGAGTCTCCAGTTTTCAGGTCCTGGTCCTGGGATGATTTAAGATAAGGGAATACTGGCTTGGTGTGTGAGAGTTTGATGAAGGAGGTGGCTGAGGTTGTGGGTTTGGACTGGTTGGTTTGCATATGAAAGGCATGCTCACTGACACATGGTTTACTATCTTTAGGAATTAGCTAGCCCTGGGAGGCATAGCGTCTCCAGGATGAACAAGGCATCAATATGTCAAGGCATCATAAAACCAAAAAAAACCCCCCAAAAACAAAAACCTACCGCATAATTAATACACTAATCTTGCTAGAAAACTAAAAGCACACTGCTGAAGATGACTGCTCAGACTTCCCTGTTATTAAATAATTTGGTTAGCAGCATGTAGTGTGAAAGGGAGACATGCTTTTCACATCATCCATTAGACAGAGAGAGAGAGAGAGAGAGAAAAACACAAGCAAGAACAAAAAAAGAATGAATGAGAAAATCTATTTCTTCTTATAAAAAGGCCTTTTCAAGCACCATTTTTCTGATCAGCCTTTTCTATTTGCATAATTTGTTTCCCCTTATTTAATAAATATAAATTCCTAGGGAGGCTAGAGAGGCTGAAGATTCGGACTATGTAATGTCCTTGATTAACTCTAGATTAGGGTTTCTTAACTTCAGCACTGCTGAAATTTGGGGCCAGAAGATTGTTTGTCTGTTCTGTCCTCTGCCTTGTTTGTCTAGTAGCATCTTGGGCCTCTACCTACTAGATGCCTATGCACCCTCTTCACCCTCACACAAATGTGATGATCAGTCTTCTCTCCAAGGCACTGCCAAATGTCACCTGGGGGCAAAATTATCCCCCCACCCTTACCCACCTTCCCAATTGAAAACCAGTATTTCAGATAAATCATAGTTTAGTTTGGCCATGTTTCTATCTAGTATTTTCATTCAGGATCCTGAAAATCTTTTATTATCTATATTTGAAATAATCTTTAATGGCAGAGAAGTGAACTTATTCTCCCTGGTCTCAAAAAGGAAAATGAAGCTGAAAATCACAGCGAACTAATGGCAAATTTAAGATGAGACTTAGAAGGTGCTGCCCGAAAGAACAATCATGAACTCTTTGTGGAATGGATTAAAATTTGTTCAGGTGAATCTCTGTTTTGGAAGGCAGGACGTAGACTTTTCCAAGCTGCTCTAGTTGTGCTTTGGAAAGTAGAGAAGGAAAAGAGGCTTGGAAAATTTTCTAGGATTCTTTGTTTGCCCTGGCCCGGTGTAGGGAAGCTTACATAAGAAATAAGCATGGCCAGGCAAGGTGGCTCACACCTGTAATCCTAGCACTCTGGGAGGTCGAGGCGAGCGGATCCTTTGAGCTCAGGAGTTCGAGACCAGCCTGAGCAAGAGCGAGACTCCGTCTTACTAAAAATAGAAAGAATTAGCTGGACAACTAAAACTATATATGGAAAAAATTAGCCGGGCATGGTGGTACATGCCTGTAGTCCCAGCTACTTGGGAGGCTGAGGCAGAAGGATTGCTAAAGCCCAAGAGTTTGAGGTTGCTGTGAGCTAGGCTGACGCCATGGCACTCTAGCCCTAGACATCTTAGTGTTTTTGTTTCTTATTTTCGTATACAAGATGGGCATCAGAAAATAGATGAGTTCTAAGTTGACTAACATGAATATTGGATGCAAAAACAGGCAAGGAGCATGATGACCATTTGAGATTTGCTATAATAAGACAGGCCAGATGTTCACAAATAGGAAAACACATGCCTGGGGACATGAAGTGCAACCTCAAGTCCCTGGATTTCTCTGTACTTCTGTTTGTTGGAATCTGATTAACGGTGACTAAGAAACTGTGTAGGTAAAATAAGAGAACCAAATGGAAGCTGGAAAAATAAAACCAAATGCAGATAAGGATCAAAGAAGCACATATTTTTAGAAGTAATAGATACTATTAGCACACAATCTTTCATATCACATGAAGTTTGTCTTCATATCATTCAAGGTCACTAAATATTTCATTCCTATCGTGGCACAGAGATTGTTATACCTGACCCAGAGTTGAGGATGTTGAATATAAACTATGTCAAGGTTGGATTTTTTATTTACGTACCTTTGGGGTTCTTAGTTTATCAAGTCATGCTGTGCCTCCTAAATTAAAAAAAGTATTTTCTGAGAGATAAATGTTCATTAAAGAAATATTTATTGAATATATGCATTAAGAATAGGGTGCTTCACAATGTAGACTGAGTTCTACAAGACGTGATGAAGCTTGCATTCTAGAAGTAAAGGACATGAAATTAAAACGTAATTTATTCTAGTGACAGAATTTTAAAAACTTTCTCTTCCAACCTGCTCACATAGTTCAACCAGGAAAGGTAACTGAACTAATACTTTTGAATAAATACCCGAATTTCATATTCTTCTGAAAAATAAATTTCAAATCCAAGGCTTTCATAAGTTCAACTCTATGAGATGTATTGTTTCTGTGACTGTTTTATGTGTTAGTGATGTTTCACAGAACCCTGAAGGAAGGCGAGCCTGAACTAATCAGCATAGTGATCGAAGAAAAAAGTCTGTGTGTTTTTATTATCAGGGAAATACTCCCACTTCAAAATGGATTATTTAAGTATGCAATATATAGAGAAATGGTTTATTGATTTATGTATTTTGTTGTTGCACTTTTGTAGGCGTTAGCTGGCAAACTAAAGCAGTCACACCTTAAAGCTCTAAAATTTAGAGAATATATTTGTTTCCCATTGTGTGGAATGCACATAATTCTTAGGCACTGTCCTGATTCTCTGGAGGATTAGGTACATTTTCATCCGCATTTGTCTTTGGTTCAGACTGAATAGCGACCCTTTTTGTTTATCAGCTTAAAGTATTTCTGTATCACAGAAAGCTGGAATTTTGTCTACAGAAGGATTTGCCTAAGTTTTGCTTGTTGTTTCTCTGCCTTCTCTTTTATTTGAAGTGTTATTTAAACTTATCCCTTTCTGGAAAAGAAGAAAAAAAAAAAACCAAAGCCATTATTTTCTTCAGTGCCTTGGGAAGTGTAAATTTATGGTCCATACCTTCAAAGTTATGTTTAAACACATGAGGTAAATAAACAGATACAGTAGTTTTGCTGAGACCTTTGGTGAACATGGCTGAGTGAATTCATACTTTAATGCACCCCTCTCTGGTTCCAAGCAGAATGGTGACAGAAAAACTATAAAACAAGAAAAGTAAAAAAGACATAAAGACGAAGCAATATAAAATATGAAAGAAATATGAGACATGGAGTATGGATTGAGGAGCTCCAACATGGATTTGATAGGATTCCCAGAAGAAAAAATGGAAACATGGAGAAGATAGAGAAGAAATGTAGAGAGGTAATAGTTGAGAATTTTCCAGAAGTAAACTATGAGCTCTGAGATTGAAAGTAATTGTGGTGTTAGCCTCTATAGTCCCTTTAAAAATAATTTGCAATAGAGACAGCAATATTCTGTTTTTGTTTTGTTTTGTTTTGTTTTTGAGACAGGGTCTCACTCTATCACCTGGGCTAGAATGCAGTGGTGCCATAGCTTACTGTAACCTCAAATTCCTGGGCTCCAGTGATCCTCCTGCCTCAGCCTCCCAAGTAGCTGGGGGACTATAGGCATGCATGGCCATGCCTGGCTGACTTTTCTATTTTTAGTAGAGATGGGGTCTTGCTATGTTACTCAGGCTAGTCTCAAATTCCTGACCTCAAGCAATTCTCCCACCTTGGCCTCCCAAAGTGCTGGATTACAGGTATGAGGCACTTCGCCTAGCCCGAGACAATAATATTCTAATACTGCATTGGAGGGCCTGTCAACATAAGGCATAAAATTAATGGGTATTGTCTTTCAAGTGAAAAGCCCTATAATAAATGCACCACCTTAATATTTATTATAGTAAATCTAAGGACAAAGGAGATTAAATATGACACATCATTTATTTTTTGCAAACTGTGGAAAAACAACAGGAAGTCATAATTTGAAATAATGTAAGTATGTAAAGTTTCTCATTGCTATCCCAAAACAATATAAATGTATTCCTTCAGTGATTCTATTCACAGTAATTGTGTATATAAGTTTTTCTTCTGAATTTTCATTGCTATTTTCTTTTATTTTACAGAATAAATAAGATCTAATATGCCCTGGATCTGTTTTTTGGAGAAGCAACAATACAAATTCCAGTACTATAAACAGAGGCCCTGCTAATGAGTTTTATATTTATAAATGTACAAAATCCATGTCATCTATCACTTTAGGGGCATTTGAAATTATTAATATGAAGGCTCACAAAGAATCATCTGTGGACGTCTGATGGAGGAAACTGGTGATTTTTCTCTAATGCTATCAGCCTGGTAGCATTGAAAATAGGATGATTTTCTACCTATCTTGGAGAGTTCTACTGACTTCCAATCACACTAGAAAATAACCCACGTTATTAAGGACTTCATCTGGGACTCTCCCTTCAGCCTGGCCAGGCTCTGCTAACTTCACTTTCCTAAATTAAACTCCATCCCTCTGGCTCGGCTGCATCTATCCCCTCACTCAGCTTCCTGTTGAATGACAACTGATGTTTCTCCAGGCTCTGGCTTCTCCTTATCTAAAGAACCCGTGCTTTTTCTTGCAACTAAGAGAACTTACATATATTTTCATTTAGTGAAATTAATACACCAGTATGATTTCATTTGGTTCTCGATGTGCCCAAACATGCAAAGGATTGTGTGCTAGAAACGCTGAGAATTTACAAAGGATTTTAAGCTATCCTGACTCATGTTCTGAAGGAATTTACAATCTAACTGAGGAGCAAAGATAGGACATTAATTCAGCTCTAGAAAACTAGAGCTACGTGGCAATAGATAAGTGCCAGAGGAGTGGTGAAACTATTATTATTAACTGTTTTAGAGCCCACCATGAGTAGAATTATCAAGTTTTTTGTCCTATTGAACATTTACCATGTTTATATCTTAATGATGATTTCACTGATTGGCTGATGCTTATTCTAAGCTTGAATAGCCAAGGATGTAGGTGATTAGGACATATATTTGGTAATTTTATTATAATTTATACCTAAGATCTGAAAAGTGAGATGGAAGAGGCAATACATAAATTGCATCCCCCAAAAGTGCTAAAATAGTTTGCGTGCGTGTTTTGTTTTCTGGATAACGGTGGCCTAGACCGTAAAGTTACCTCCAACATTAAGCATCCCGGTTTCAAGCACATATGGTTCCAGGCAGAGTTGACTTCCTGTTTTTCATTATTGACATGGAAAGAGCACTGGCTCTGTCTCCTCCCGCAGGGCCAATGTCAGCATATTCCAGAGGTGATTCATTTCTGTCACCTGCATCATAATCAGCCTCAGCATCCTATCACGTAATGCATCACTGTCAGACCCCCTGACTCCTTGATATCTCTGTCCCTGCGAGAGGCCTGGAGATCAAATCACACCTGATAGCGAAACCCAGGGCCAGAATACCAGGCCTGAGGAAGGGAAGCAGGAGGGGCACATTTCTGTATGCTAACTTTATGCAACCTCCCTGACAGCCCTTGATCATGTTGCAGTTTTCCAAGGAGCACCTTAATTTATTTGATGTTAATCACTTTGTTGGGTCCTGCAACAGAATCAGTCAACTGTCAAGTGCCACCACTTCTTGTGCTGCCTCTTTCCTGCCTTTACCGAGGCCCCAGGCTTTATCAATGCCCAGGTTGTCTCAGGAGGCCCTGGTCATCATCTCACAGGGACTCCACTCTCCTGTAACATCTCTGTCACGTGGTTCAAACCCAACGTGCTTGCTGAGATGATTTTGGCATTTGTTACTGACATAATAAATACCTCAAAAACCATTTCAGCTTAGCTATTCTTCAACTCCAGTCAATGCAAATAATGCCCCAAACCAACGCAAAGAATTCTTTGGGATATTTTTTTTTTCCTTTTTTTCTTTTAGCATATTATGGGGATACAAATGTTTAGGATATTAAGACATTTGCCAACTCAACCCATTATGGAGTTAATTTTTCCCAACTATGCAAACCATCATGCCCTACGAGGTCCTACTAATGAGTTTTATATTTATAAATGTACAAAATCAATGTCATCTATCACTTTGGGGGCATTTGAAATTATTAATATGAAGGCTCACAAAGAATCATCTGTGGATTTGTGATCAAGGAAACTGATGATTTTTTCTCTAATGCTATCAGCCTGGTGGCATTGAAAATAGGACGATTTTCTACCTATCTTGGAGAGTTCTACTGACTTCCAATTACACTGGAAAATAACCCATGTTATTAAGGCCTTCATCTGGGACCTTAAAGTTTGTACCTTAAAGTTTCTCCCTACCTTAAAGTTTCTTTTTTTTTGTTCCCGCCAAGTTGCCTTACCTTTTCTATTCTCTATCTTCACACTTTTACTTGAACAGAGACAGCACTAAAATAGACTTCTGCTACTTGGGCTGGCTGTAGAGAACACAGACTAACATTCTGAGCCTCTTCTTCGAAGACAGTCTGCTCTATAATATGCAGATTTACTGTTCTGCATATGTTGAAAATGAAGCTACACACCCATTGGCAATAGGGCATAGACTCTGAGTTGCTGACAGATTTGAAAAATAATCCATTGTTATGTATCCTCATTTGCTCCACAAAGGACAAATACAAGCCATTTGGCTGGTGTTAGAGGTGGACCAAACATACCACAAAGTCAGCCAGCATGTATCATGATTCTCGGTTTGGCCCCAGTGCTATACTCTCACCAGCTGAGTCAATGGCCTTAGGCACACATTTGCATTCAATGATAATGACAGACTCCTGTGTTATTGTGGTTGAAAGGGATTCCAGAGATCATTTACTCCAATTCCCCCATTTTATAGCTTCACATGTAAAGAACAGAGAGATTAAGGGACTTGCCCAAGGCCACCCAGCTTTGCAAGTTTGTATATTTAAAATACTATTTTAGAAATTCCTTTCCTATGCTTTATCCCTCCTTGACTTTGAAATTCCCGGAGAGTACTTCCTGAAGGGTGTTCAGAGGAAGACTCCTGGAAACATGTGGAACATTCTTAACACAACAGAAACTCTGACTTCCGGTTTCTATGTCTGCTCAAGAAGGGCAACTGGAGAAGAGGAAAAATGGAAGAGGAAGGGAACTTTTATTGAGCATCTATTAGGCGCAGGTGCAGTCTACAGGCCAATAAGAGGTAGCATTTATTGAGGGCTCCCTCAACTTTATGACAAAGAATTTTTTTTTATTATTCCCATTTATTTTACAGACAAGGAAGTCATGGCACAGCCACTGAGCTAACGAGTGGTGTGGCAGAAGGCACACCAAAGCACTGCATTACCTTGTGCACGGGAAATCTCATCATCACTCTATGGAGCAGATGTTATTGTTCCAAATTTACAGATGAGGGAACCAAAGCTCATAGGGATTGTGTCACTAAAGACAGGGAGGTGACAGCAGCAGGGCATGAAGTCTAGTCAAGCTCTTTTCAGTCTGACATGCAATTCCACGAAATATTGATCAAAAAATGATGCCTTAGGCATTTTCACCCTGATCCGGAGAAGCTGAGTTGAAATCATCTTAGCAAAGTAACTAATAAAAAGAGTGGATGATTCAGCAATATATTTTAACTTTTCCTTCCTTTCTCCCTATCATGAAGGAGAGCGGATTTTAGCTAGGATATTGGGGCTGGGAAACTTCCCCCCACACAGGGGATGAAGTGTGGACCATGACACTCCTTCCCAGATGCCTCCTGTAGCTTCCAGCACAAAGGCTGCTCAACAAGCATGTGGCAAATGAGATTATAATGCCAGCCTGGCATACCACTGCCCTGCACTCTCCGTGGAGGGTTGGATCTACTTCCTTATCTGATTCATGAAAGAAATTTCCTGTGGGGCATTATCTCTGAGGAAGCCCTCTGTCTGTTGGTGGTGGTGAATTTGAAGGCAGCTGTGCCATAGGATGGCATGAGAACAAAGATTTAATCTGAATTCACTCAAGAAGTACAGCTTCAGGGTGTGAATCCCAGCTCTGGCAGGGGGTTGAGCAAACAGTAACAATATCACTGTGGTTTTACACTTAAGATGTGTAACTTGTCAGAGCAGTGAAGTCTCTTATGAAATGTGTGTTAGGATGATGTTGTTCAGGCAGAAGGCTGTTCAACAGTACACTTCCCTGAAGACATTTTTCAATTACAGATGCATTGCAATTAGAGATGGAAAAAGGCTGTATGGGGTCATCAAGTTTATATTGTCTGGCAGGTCGGACACAGCCTGGGATTTTGTTTCATGTAAAATGCCTTCAAAAATCTAGCTTATGTGATTTCATGTGGGAGGCTTGTCTGTAATCTTATAATGCAAAAATTATTTCCAACTGATAATCACTTGAATTTTAACTTATTTTCACTGCTTTTTTCCAAGTGTTATTTATTCACTAATTTTATCAAATCATCTTCCTACTTTGATTCCTAGGATGAGATGAGAGAATGTTTTTTCCCGTAATGACCCTAAAAGATCACCTATTTAGGGTCACCTAATCACCCTAAAAGATAGCCCAAGTCACTTATTTATAAAAATGATGACGGAGGCTCAAAGAGGCTGATTTAGGGCTTTTACCTGCTTCCCAATCCGTTACCTTACTAGGCCTTTCACCTGAGTCTCTAATCTATTATCTTCTCATTATATCCACCACCATTTTACAGATTGTGAGTCTACACTGTTAGACGTAGGATGGGATTCCTTTATAATTATGGTGCCAGAAAAAAATACTTAACAGCTGAAACAGCTGTTTACATTTATTATATTTTGTGAAACAGAATTTGATCAGTGCTAGATCTCATGCCATAGAACAATGATTAGTGTTTTATAGGGTGCAATTAAACTCAACACATTATTTTTCTTGCAAAGACATCTGCATAAAAAGCAACATTCTCAAAACAAGTCAACATTTAACAAGCTCAACATCAACTACAAATATTTGGTCTTGAGGGCAATAGAGCCTTCTTTTACATTGTTAAAATTTTACATTGCTTGGTAAAATATTCTACCCAGTGTTTTGATGCTAAATGTATATTTGTTGTGGGTGACAGAAGAACATTTAGAAGCCAGATGCAGAATAGTCACTTGCCAAAACACGGATACTGTATTTTGTTCTTAGTCATTGTTATGGACGGAATCGTGTCCCTAAAGAATCATATGTTGATGTCCCAGCCCCCTCATGAGACTGTATTTGGAGATGGTGGCCTTTAGGAAGGCAATTAAGGTTCAATGAGATAACAGTGGGACCCTAATGGAAAAGGGCTGGTGCTCTTACAAGAAACTCCAGAGAGCTCACTTTCTCTCTGCCATGTGAGGACACAGGGAGAAGGGGGCTGTCTCTATCCAAGTCAGGAGGAAAGCCCTCCCCAGAAACTGAGTCAGCTGGCACTTTGATCTTAGATTTCTACTCTTCAGAATTGTAAGAAAATACATTTCTGTTGTTAAGCCACTCAGTCTGTGGTATGTTTTTAAAGCAGCCTTAGCAAACTAGTACAGTTATCAAGTCCCCCTTCTTGAAGTTGAGGACTTGATGACACTTGGCAGGGGTGAGAATACATCCAAAATGAGGAGGTTTTGACTGAGGTCTGGATGGTGGGCCAGCAGTGGTAGGTTTTCTCAATGCTGCAGAGGGTGTCAGCGATGGCAGCATGCCATGGAACTGGCCCCAAATCTCCCTGTTCCTCCAGCCCATTCCAGCTTCCCTGTAGTCTCAGTAATAGCATTAGCATTTTTTTTTCCTACAGATTCATACTTTGAGACCCAAAGGGAATGGTATCTATGTGTTAAAACCCTCAAATTTCTACATCATTGGTTTTACAATGGTATCAGGGGTCCTCAAACTTTTTAAACAGGGGGGGCCAGTTCACTGTCCTTTAGACCGTTGGAGAGTGCAGCGCATATTCCACACATGCGCACTGTGGGCCTGGGACTAGTTGGCTGCTAAGCAGGACAAGCAGCAGCGGCAAAAACACCCGGGCTGGATAAATGTCCTCGCCTGGCTGCGTGTGGCCCGAGGGCCATAGTTTGAGGACCCCTGGAATGAACAATTACTTTTATTCTATCAGGGATGTGGACATTCTATCATTTATCAGACATATCGCCATGCATTTGACTAAATCTATCAGCAAATTAGCATAGGCCAGTCAATCTGTCTCCCTTTTAAAACATATTTTATATTTCCTACTTTTCATTTAACTTAAAGCTAAGGTTCCAAACATGAAATTGAAGTTCCTCTTCAGTCAAATACAGTTATGTGGCAATTATGGGCAGACATTGAAAATGAACCAAATAAAGGCATATTTAAGAAGCACTTTGTGGGGTTATGCCAACTCTTATAACATCAAGTGGTTTTGACAAGCAGTTTGAAAGCCACTAATCACTGGGGTAAAATTCTTTAGCTTGTTCCAGTTAGTTTCAGCTCCAACAGCAATTTGACGTGACAGGTTTACTGTGGTCCAGGGAGAGTGAGTGCAAGGGAAGACACAGCCTTGAAGGTAAGAGGTCAGTGTTGAGAGTCTGAACTCACCCAGTATCTTGAGATGAATGAAATTCTCTATTGCTACTTTTGGACACATTTCAACAGAAGATGCTTTCAAATTTTCTTGTTTCTTGCTTAGAAGTTACAGATTAATGCCAGTTGACAAGAAATCAAGGTACAATATAACATCTTTATATAGCATGCCCTTGGCTTTGTGGTTTTCAAAATGAGGCTGGCTTTGAAAACATAATTGTACAGCTTGTTTTTCTGCAGCCAAAATAAAAATTAAAAAAAAAAAAATTCCTCACTTGGTTAAAAAAAACTCTTCTCTGTTATAAGATATTCTTGTGCTCTAAGCCCTAATTAAGGGGAAAAAAAAGAAACCCTCAAAAGGTTATTCAAGTTAATTGTTGTATGGAGTATGGCCCGGCTCTTTCTCTCTGATAATGACAAAATCTATTTCCCTAGTGACAGAGTGTCTCCAAGGCCATCTATCTTTTGACTACAAAGCACGTTGAGGGATATCTATTTTAATATGTCAGCATCAAAGAGAAATTTGTTCTCATAGCCTCGAGATGCTCCCAGCACACTGAGCAAACATTCTGAGCGTGAAGTGCATTCTGGTTTTGGACCAGATCTCAGGAAGTTCACACTTACTCGTGCTGGGTTTCCACTTAACCATGGCTGTTGTGGCTTCCCTTTGCTCTTCCAAAGCTGAACCTTGGTCACCCCCAAAATACGGTTCTTTATGTGAGTTCCTGGGTATGAGCTCTTTGCCGTGTTTCTCAGAACAGGTGAGAAAGGTTGGAAATGACTTCTGAGCTGGTGGTTGATTCAGACAGCAGCAGAGGCTGTGTAGCACGACCCCAGTTTGCACGCCCAGATGTCTCATAGCTCTTTCTGTATTTTCTGGGTATTGCCCTGAGTTCTTTATTTGCATTATCTTATTTAATCCTCTTGACAGTCACGTGGGCTAGTTAGCAACCCTGGTCCATAGATGAGGAAGCAGAAGATTTGTGAGTTAAGGAACTATCCCAAGGTCGGCCAGGACAACAACAATGTGGAAATATATACCAAGGCTGACTCCTATGAAGGGAAGGTCATTTGTTTAGAGATGCCACATGATTTGAAAACATTGATTTCATTATTTAAAAATCACAATGCGCACTTCTGTATGTTTCAGAACTGCAAGCGTCTCTGGTCCTCACTGGCTGAATATTCTTGTAATCAAAGCTATGGCCTTGGAATGTCAAGGCAATTTCCACACCCATAGTGGCTGCTTCCTGGGGTTGGTTGAGGGGAGAGGGCTCATACCAGCTCTAACTAGGAAGGGGCTGTTGGAAGAAGAGAGAAGGAAGCTCAGGAGACCAGTTAGTTCCTTTGAGGACTGCAGATCAGGTGCATTTATCAGGACAGGGAGACATCAGTACTTAATGCTCCCTGTTCAAAAGAGATAAATGGGAATGCAGTGGCAAAGAAGGTATAGTGGCAAAGAAGAGTAAGGCTTATAGGTCACATCCAGGGCCTGTTTCTAGATGCTTTCTACTGCTCACACTCCTCTCTCTTACATTTGCCCTTGGGTGTGTGTGTGTTTGTGGTATGTATAGATATATACAGGCATACACACATATACAAGGTCATATACAGACACGTGTATACACTCATATACACACATATAGATACACACACATACAGATACAACTCGCACATACAGACACACACACAGACATGCACACATACGTATATATTAGGGCTGTCATAAAAAACACAGGATGCTCTGTTAAATTTGAATTTCAGATAAACAACACTGTTAGTATAATTATGTCCCAGTTATTACATAGAATATACCTATCCTAAAAAATTACTAATGTATATGACATTCAAATTTAACTGTACATATTGTACTTTTATTTAATCTGGCAACATTAGTACATATGTACATATATATGCATAAACACATACACATACATATGCATGCATATTATATTTAAATCTACGTTCCTACACATGCAATTATATACAACACACCCTGATCCTAAGGAAATGAGGTTAGCACCCTGCCCTTATCAGTACCTGTTTACCATATATTTTCCTTATGTCAAAGTACTTATGCTTGTCATTTCATCTTCAGTATTTGTTTTTTCGCGCCAGATCATAAGCTCTATGATGATTGCGGCTATTATAGACTTAGAACCCCCGCACAAAACATAACTGATGAACTAAAGAACACAAAAACTATGTTAAACTCCACATCCAGAATTTGGCCAAAAGATCCGCCTAACTACAAAGGGCAGAGAGGACCTGCCCAGCTGTCGACAAAAGCTTGAGTCAGTGCCTGAAAACCATTAACGAGATAAAGGGCCTGAATTCATAGGACCTTCTTCGTGTGACAAAAACGAGTATATTCACTTTTTATCTCACTGATTTTGAATAAGCATCTTTAAATAATCCTTTTCTTTGTCCTTGGGCTAGCCCACTGGGAAACGGTAATTTTTCACGTGGGCACTCTTCCCAGACCCTGACCAACACTGTGGACCCTTCCAGAATGTCACTTGCTCACCAGGTTCTGTTTTCATATTTTACAGCACAATCAAGAAGTTTCCCTTTGCCTCCAGTTCTGTTATTATGAGTGCCATTTAGAAATTTTCATTTTTGCCAAGAGCATTCAAACCAGGGAATAAAAGAGAAGCCAGAAATGGAGGCCTCCTCCTACTCCACATTACATTAGTGGCATTTTAAAATTACAGCCTCACCAGCTTCCTTAAGAAATACTACATTTTTCATCTTTGGTGGCTGTGATTAAGTAACACTCACTTTGCACTGCGCCCGTGGTGACACAGCTCCATTACAAAGCCCTCCTGGGTGGCATTCGGGTCATTAGAAACTACACAAACTATTAGGGAACAGTAGCGGAGCTGCTAACAAACCCTTCGAATTATGGTTTCCTTTCTAATTGTGGCAAGGAATAAAGTCTGAACTCATGATAGTTTTGGAGTTGAATAAAATAGGAAATGTGCACACACACACACACACACACACACACACACACACGAGGCGTCTCACAGTTCAAATATATTTCTCAGAAGGTTTCCCCAGAGAGTTCTTAGCCTAACTGTCCTGATCTCAAGAATTAGGGTTTCATTTCTGGGTTCCACAAGTTCCCAGGGTCCCCTCACTCAATACACTGAGCCTTCTTGAGTTTACAAACACAGCTTTCAGCAACTTGGTGTTTTATACTGATGCTTCAGTTTCTTGAATGTCTCTGCTACGGACCTGTACCCTTAAATTGGGCTTACCCTCCACTTCGTGACATGAAAACTGAGTCCCCATTAGTGGGCAGCACTGAAGGGCACAACCACGATCTCTGTGCTGTTGACCAGCACCTCACACTCTCTTGGTTGCCTAGGCCCATGGAAGCATTTTGGCCAGGACCCTCAGTGGCCAAGGCGTACATGCACCCCAACACCTCAACATAGCTCAGCGTCACAGCAGGTAGCCTGCTTGTCTTGCGCTCCTTGTAGTACAGGAAATGCACGCCCATATTTTACTGGCGTGTTGACTAATCTTTAGGGGGATGTCTGCCTTACGTGGGGAGTGATTGACTGTGTGGAACCCTTTCCCCCCAGCTAGCACTAAACCCAGACCCCAGATGTACTCCTGGCATTCCATCTTTCCGATGACATATAAAAATGAGGCACCAAACACTCTGGGCTATTATGGATCCCATGGTACTTTTAGGAAAACCTGAGGCTTTAGCCTTAACACGTGGCTAAATGCCAGCTCAGAGAGTGAAGTTCCAACTACTCAAAATCTTTCCATGCTTTATGGATGGTTCTGTTATTCGCTCCAAAGATTAACTAGCATGTAGTGGGAGTCATTTATCTGTTAACACATTTTTTTCCCCCTAGAGGTGGCTGCATTTCAGCAGTGGATTTAAGCAACCTCTGTGTAAAATATAATAGCATGCCGAAGTGAAGCAATGCTACATAAAATAAATTATTTGATCATCAAGTGGGCATTTTCCTATAAACAAACTTACTTTTTATAAAGATTGTAAAATTGCGAATCGTGAGGAGTGAAGGTAGGAGCAAAATAAGAGGATAGATTGTATTTTTGTGCCAATTCAATGTCTTCTCATCAAGTTACAAGGGGGCATTTTTCAGATGGATACAGCACATAAGTTTCTATTCTGCACATGAGAAAACTTAGTTCATATGAGCATCGTTTTCCTATTATCTGGGTTTGGTTCCCAAATGCCTTCCAGAGCCACTCTATTTGTTACCTTCACCAGTTTCCCTTGGAGACCACCGTCAACATCTCCAGCTCTGAATAAGGACTCCCCGTGGGGAACTCCTCTGCCCCGGTCATTAATAGAAGAGACAGGGAAG